AAAAAAAAGAACTTTCTCTCTTCTCCTACCTTTGTTAGCGTTTATCTCTTTCTTCTATCATCTCTGCTATGTTCTTCCATCACCGTCGCCGTGGTGTCATATTCTTGTCCTTATTTATGAGTTTTTCACTATTTCTCCTCCATTCTTTTTGTGGGTTTCATAATTTTTATGGTTTGGTTGTTTGAAAAAGTGTGAGTAGTGTTTTCTTTGATTAAAAATATGATCTGAATTTGAATAAATCTGATTTTTGTTCCTCTCCTTGCTTAAACATACTTTGACACTTGAAAGCTTGAATGGATCTAATTTTTATTTTCCTTATTTTTTAGATTTGAGTTTGATAGCCTAAAGTTCATAAATTTTATCATATTTTGGTCTTTGATTTTACCTTTATCAAATCTTAATAGCTTCGATATGGCAGTTGAAGGCAAAGCTAGGCAGTGCTATTATGGCAAGGAAGGGTCTACTAGTAAATTATTAGTTGATTGATTCTCAAACCCCTTCTCTTGAGACTTTGTTTTCCCATTCCATCCTGATTAATAGGATGAGAGGGAAGCTAAAAAAAAAAATAAACTTTTCCTGGTAGTTTTTGGACTGTCATGAAATTCTTTACTTTTTTACATTGATAACATAGACGTCACTCTCAAAACTGCTATGAAAAGCTCATTTTAACAACCATAAAATACCTATTTTGTAGCAGTGTGGATGCATCTTAACTCTATAATCCATTAGCAAAATTAATTGACAAACAAATTAAGGGTGATATTATTATTTGCATAACTTTGAAAAGTTTCAGCAGAATTTTTATCAGCTTGATTAAAAAAGAAAGAAAGAAAGAAAGTGTCTCTATACATGACTGAACATTAAAGAATGTTAAGAGTAAATTAATGTTAAATGAAAGAATTAGCATAGGGAAGCATCTGGTAAATGATAAGAAGTAGAGCCAATTATTGAAGACACTGAAAAACTAATGGGGGCGTGGACCTGACTAAAGCAAAATAAAGCAACATGGAGGGCCAAAGCACAACATTCACTATGCATTCCTTTCAGAAAAGGTGCAAATTAAATATGTGTGTATGATTTTTAATTCAAAAAGGTAAATGAATCTCAATGTGTGAAGCTATTACTATTTCTTTCTTTTTTGAAAAAAAATCTATTTTGCTTCTTGAAAGATTGGATAGGCTTCAATTTTTTTTTTTTTTTGCCTAAAGTTAAATTGAAGGAAAACTCAATCCTCTTAATCTCTTGCTCCTTACAAACCATTAATGGTAGATAATATAATGTATCATATTCTCATTACTGAGATAATTTAACGGTAGAAAGTTATTTACGCACAAATTTAAAAATTCAAAAATAACAAGTTACATATTATTGAACATGCTAACGTATAAAGAAAAATTCAAAAGAAATTTGTACAATTTATTCGTCTTTTCTCCCATTAATTTTATTATGGTTAAAAAAAGCGGTATAGATTTTCAATTCACTAATAGACATATAAATAATCTTAACATTAATGATTAAAACCTTTAAGAGGTATAGGCATCCCTTCAATCTCTATAGGATATATAGGTCATGCACATCTCAATTGAATCTGACTTTTCAATCCGATCATATTTCAGATTACACTTTCTCATAACCACAGATAAACCCCTCTTTTTATTGATAACATATTTAACTATTTAATACTTTGTTTCGGTTTCTTTCATAAGTTATAATTCTCTGAATGGATTTGCTTTTAATAATTATGCTTTCTTTCATTTTTATTTTAATTATTTATATGTCTCTCTTGTCACTTTTTTCTACTCATTCTTTCTTATCTTTCCCCCACCCATTCTCTATTTTCCACCTCCTTTCTATATTTGAAATATATATATTTCTTACATATTTATTATTTTTAACTGAATTCTTATTCTACATAATTTAATTATTTATAACTTATACAAGAAGATGAGAATATAACACTTTAGTAGATAAATCAATTCTGGGAAACAACTTTTGGTCAACAAAATTACGTACCCGTCGCGTGTAGTCGGCGCAGCCCTAAATTATATTACAAACAAGGACTGGATGAGTTTATTTGAGCTTCTTCAGATTACTTTATTCAATTTTTGGGTATTAAGATTAAAGAAAGATGACCCAAGTAGTGAGTCATTCCACAATACACGTTAAAGATTTGACAAGAAGTAAGAATGCAAGAAAGTAGAAGCGAAATTGGATGGCTCTTAATCAATCTTTTGGCTGAAAATTGAAGATGCCATTCTCTCCCTTGTCACCGTTGCATGAATTTGACACTTACTAAGCTTCTCGACTAAGCTATATTTTTCTTACTTAAGAAGCTTCTTGTTATGAATATTATATGAATGTCTATTTACCCCTTTCTCTTTAGCTTCACCAAGTAACTTCCACTACTTTCACTATTAATTTCTCTTTCACTGTCCATTTAATCGTGTAACTCACCTCCATTCACGTTAATGAGATTGATTATCTACTATTTACCATTTAAGGACAAATGTAACCTATGTGTGAGACTGTGCCTATAAATAAGGCGTGTCATTTGTGTTGTGGAACAAGTAAAGAAATGCAATAATTCTATCATTTTTTTGTCTCCATCTTTCTCTATTCTACTTTTATGGTTCCATTTCGTAAGACTTCTCGACTAAGTTATATTTTTCTCAGCTTCATGCAAGGAATCTCACATAAATGATCTTATTGTTCATTACTTGGTTATGATTAATGTGACTTATTATAAAATTTATACTGCTATTATAGATTAATGAAAAGTCATGTAATTATCCTACAATTGGTATATAGCTAGATTTCAAATTTTGTGCATTATAATGAACTTCAAAATATATATACGCACATTGTAACGATTCTTAATGTAAGATATAGATCTTTTATTGAAGACCGAAAGTAATGTATGTGTGTATCGACTTTTATTTATAAAAAAGTAATGTCTCATTTGGTAATAGATTTTCTTTTGTTTTTTTTTTTACAATATGTCTTATGTCTTTATAATCATGAATTAAAAATTTTAATTTTTTGTTAATTTTAAAGGGGATAAATATTGTTTTTATCATCAAAGTCATCTCCTTATTTTAATTTTCTATTTTATATAATAAAGGAGCTTGCAGTACTGTACTCTTAAATTAAATTAGATATATGTTTGTGTTACACTAAAACTTTTAAAAATGAATATTCATGAGCGACATAAAATTAATTTGAGATCCTGAAATATACATACTAGTCCTGAAATTTTTTAGCTTTAATTTTCTGTTATATATGGATATAAAAATATTACTCCTCTGGTTTTTAATGTAAAATCTAATTAGATAATTTGAATAGATTAAGGATGTTAGTTAAATTAATTCATATGATATGTTTTTCCTAAAACAATCTAAACATTTTTCTTAATTCCCTCCCCCCCTCTCTTACTTGATTATTATTAAAAAATTATTAGGATTAATTTAGAAAAAAATTAATCAATATGTAAAATAGGTTTTACACATAGAATCAATATCAACTCTTTAATTGGGTCATATACTACCTCTGATCCTTAATATAGGAACTAGCTAACTAATTTGAGCAGATTAAAAAAGTTTGTTAAATTAATTATTTATAATAAATAAGTGTTTTATTTCCTAAAGTACTTTTACTAATCATGTGTATTAGTTATAACTACCATTTGATGAAATCTTTAATATGTACAACTATTACAAGAATTACTTTAGAAACAATAGATAAATATGATAGACAAAATAAATTAAAATATTGTATTTAAAATGAAATTAAAAATCAAATTAGTACAAGAGATTGTATCAGGGACAGAATGAGTAGTTTCTCAGCAAACATACCCTCGCAATGAAATGAACATGTGCATGCAAAGTGGGCCCACCATTCACTTTAAAAGTGGTCCACCAGCTCATGTGTGTGGTTCGGTGGGCCAGCCCATTTATTGCCTAAGAGGAGCTGTCAGTATTGTTTTCCCTCAAATCAAATATATGGGGCTTACGAAAAATAACAAGCACACTGATATATTTTATAATAGTTCTTTTCAATTATTTTATAAAATTATTGAAATCCAACCCATAAAATTTATATTGTTTGTCCCAAAAAAGATCATTCATATTTTATATATCTTTTAATTTTTATTTTTAATAATCATTTATTATTTTTTATTTTATTTGAAATAAAAGTAAAAGAAACAAGTTGAATAACATACACGCATAATGCATATACATGATGTACATATACATATATTATATGTGTGTGTGTGTCTATCACGTTCTAAATTAAATTCAAGCCATTGAACACTTACCACAGCAGCAAAAGAACCGTATGATGGAATTGCACAGCAAAAGTTCTGGTCAGTATTAAATATTAAATATAGATTCAAATAAGAAAGAGCTTGTAATTTATTATTAGATGCTTAATATAAAAATTACTTAATTTATTCGAGTTTTTTTGGCCTTGTTAATTCGTTTGAGTTGATTGAAGAAGCTAGCTAAATTAATTAATTAAAATAAATACTCCTCCGGTCCTTATTATAAGACCCAATTTGACTTTTTATTTGGTCCTAATTAAGACCCAATCCATTTTCTCTCTCATATTTATGTATTTTTTTCAAGATAATCCTTCTAATAATGATATTTTAGCCAATATACTTAATTAGCAAGAATATTTTAGGAATAACAACACTTATTTATTATAAATAACTAACTTAACTTACTTCCTTAATTTCCTCAAATAAGTCAATTGGGTCTTATAATTAGGACCGGAGGAGTATATCATAATATTTTTAAAATACTCTTATATGGGAGTATATTATATATCAGTTACTGAGTAAATTAATTTAAATAAAAATAATAAATGTAAAAGAAAACATATCTTAAAAAGTTGTATCTTGGATGCTGCGACATTATTAAACATTCTTTAATTTTCTTTGACTCAAGCACATCTTCTTTCTCCCTTCGCCTCGCCCTCCTTTCCTTGCCTTATAATTCCATTCCTACACTTTCTTTCTCTTTCCCTCTTCATCTCTTTCTCTCTCACACATATTTCCACACGATCCAGTTTTTCACTTCTCCCAAATTTCAGAGTTCTCTTGCTTTCTAACACTTCCTTAGGTTCAGTTCCAATCTTATACTCTTGTGCGCCCAAAAAAGCTTTATCTGTATATACCATAAAACAGAGCATCTTCGTCCTCGTCCTCGTCGTCAGCTTCCTCTTCTTCTTTTTGTTCGTCCATGGCTACCAACAAGTTTGCAACAATGTTACACAGGAACACCAACAAACCAACCCTGGTTCTTGTCTACGCTTTCCTTGAATGGGTTCTCATCGTTCTGCTTCTTCTGAACTCTCTTTTCTCTTACTTAATCTTAAAATTCGCTGATTACTTTGGCCTCAGAAGGCCTTGTATATGTTGTTCTAGGATCGAGCACATCGTCGAGCCCAAAAAGTATGCGAACAAGTCTTGCTTCAGAGATCTTGTTTGTGAATCTCATGCCTCTGAGATTTCCAAACTCGGGTACTGCTATAATCATCGCAAACTCGCTGAATCCGAGGATATGTGTGAGGATTGCTCCTCTTCTTCTTCATCATCCGAATTAGATTATGTTAAAATTTCAAAGAGCTTTGGTTTCTTTCCATGGATGGAGCAGAAGACAGTTATGGTTCAGGACACTGATGGTAGCAAGGCTTTGAAGTGTTCTTGCTGTGGGGTCCACTTAGAAAGCAGATTACGCCCTCCTGGTTTTGTGGTCGAGCCGTTGGATCATGCCCAGATGCAGAATCTGATTACACAAGGTGGAATTGAAGTTGATGCAGAGATTGATGAAGGTTATCGCAGCAGATCGGATTCTGCATGTGATCATTATGAAGATGAAGATCAAAACGCTAAAGAAACCATGGAAGTTCACAAGGTGTCCAATGTTGATCAACCTTGTGAGCAAAAAACTGGGGAAATTCCACCCCAGCATCTTGAGTTCTTCGTCCATGGCGATAATTGTAGCTTGGTTCCGTTCGAACTGATTGATTCTTCCGCCGCCGCTGCCACAGAGACAGATGGCCGACGTCGTCATAAGGTGGCAAAGGGTCAAGAATCAGAGGATCGGAATGAAGATGTTATTTTGGATTTTGATATGCTTTCTGGTGGTGTGGAAACTGAACCAGTTTTCGAGAATTGGCACACGTCGGGAGATAGTGTGATAAGTTTTTCCTGTCGCAAGAGAAAACCGAAACCACCGTCAGTATCAGTATCGCTAGTTGAAGCAAATTTGGAGCAGAATTTTGGTCCATCAATTGAAGAAAAACCTAGGAATCACAATCTTGAAGCTCTTGTGGAAAGCAGAGAAGGTTGTGCTAATTTTCTGTGACAATAATTTTACTCATCAGTTATTGAGTTCTCTTCCAATGCATAGTTCTAAACTTCTAAAAAATTTCTGTACTTGCAGCCTCAGAAGAAGTGACAGAAATGCAGGGAGATGAATTTGAAACAGAAGTGTCCATTGGAACGGAAATTCCTGATCATGAACAAGTGGATGAGTATCAAATTCATGATATTCCTCCGGAGGACTCAAATCAACACATGCAAGAAGATTCATCTGCTAGCGCAGTCAGGTTTCGTGTCGAAGATGAAAGTGGTTAGTATATATCTTCTAGAACTTCATCTGCTGTCATCTTCTTTCATTTGTCGTATAGAGATAACATATGGCAAACTTTGATGTGATGTTTCTAGAGTGATAAGGTGGAAAGGGATTGTTTACTCTTTTTTCGTTTTTAATCTTTCCCCCATAAACTTTCAAAAATCTCAGCCCGCATTTTTTATTGAGTTTCTTCTTTTCATTCTGAAATGTAAACAACTAGGTGGTGATAAAGATGAGGAGTTTGTAGAATTTCAAACCATGTCAGTTGAGACAAGCATGCCAAAAGTACTAAGGAACCATTTGGAATCATCTTTGGATTTCAATGAGAATGAAGCGGAGAAAATTCCTGATACTCCCGCTTCTGTAGAGAGGAAAGAATCAGGAACAGAAGAATCCTTGGATGGAAGCAGCACCATAAGCGATATAGAACCCGGCGAGCTCACCATTGAGAAGCTAAAATCAGCATTGAAAGCTGAAAGGAAGGCCTTGAGTAGTGCATATGCAGAACTAGAAGAAGAGAGAAGTGCGTCTGCTGTAGCAGCGAATCAGACATTGGCAATGATAAATAGGCTTCAGGAAGAGAAAGCAGCTATGCAGATGGAAGCTCTTCAGTACCAAAGAATGATGGAAGAACAATCCGAGTATGATCAGGAAGCATTGCAGCTTCTGAATGATCTAATGGTTAGAAGGGAGAAGGAGAAGCAAGATCTAGAAAGAGAGCTCGAAACATACAGAAAGAAGTTTCAGGAATTGGAGGTTAAAGAAAAATCAACAATGTCAAGAAGAGATGTAACTAACTCAAACTCATCAGTTTCTTGCAGCAATGAGGAAGATAGTGATGGTCTATCTGTAGATTTGAATCAAGAAGCAAAGGAAGAGAATGGATTCTATGGCGAACAGAACACGAATACGCCTGTAGATGCTGTCCTCTACTTGGAGGAATCTCTCGCAAACTTTGAGGAAGAGAGGTTGTCAATTCTAGAACAGCTCAAGGTGCTGGAAAGAAAGCTTGTCAAGCTGAATCATGAAGAAGATGTTTGTCATGAGAATGGAAATGGATACTATAACCATGTGAATGGATTTGCAAATGGTCATTCCTACATCAATGGTGGGAGGAAAATCATGGGTCAAAAAGGCAAGAGGCTTCTTCCAATTTTTGATGCAATAGGAAAAGAAGAGAATGGGACGGATTTGAATTTGAACTCAGTGGAAAATATTTCAATGGAAGAGGCTGATTTAGAGGAAGAATTGGATGATGTTTATGAGAGATTACAAGCACTAGAGGCTGATAGAGAGTTTCTAAAGCACTGTATCAGTTCCGTGAGGAAAGGGGACAAAGGCTTAGACCTTCTTCAAGAGATTTTGCAGTATCTTCATGATCTGAGGAATGTGGATCTCCGACTTAAGAACATGAGCGATCTTGCTGTATAACTAGTTCTTGCTCATTTTTGCTACAAGGATAATAGGTGAGGTTCTGTGCTCAACTATGTTTTCCTTTTTTCTTTATTGCTCATCTGGGACAGCATTTTGTTGATTTGGAAATTTGTTAAGTGCATACAGGCATAGTAATGTTGATGATGATCCACAAGTTCAACTGAAGAAGTACATGAATACATGGGCCAGCTAGATAAGGGAAACTATTAATCATATGGCTTCTAAACTTTTGAACAAAAATGTCAAAGGAGGTTCCCTGATGGGAAGGGGAAGAATCCTGCATGGTCTAGTGTTAATGAGAGTGGTGGACAACAAAATCAAGTCTGCCTTTGATCTTTTTGGGTCTTGGGTAACATGTAATAAGCCCAAAATTTTGGTGGTTTGCGTCCATCATCATCACCTTCTTGGGAGTGAAGGACGATGATGATTGTGCATGTGTGTGTGTAGGGTAGAATGTATAGATTTTATACATCATGTTAATTATTAGTTTAATTTTATTGGAAAGGATAGTAAGAGTATATTTTAATATATGTTGTTTGTGATCCTGTCATATTATCTACTTCATCAAGCCCTAATTCCTTCTTATATTATATACTACCTCTAATCTTAATATAAAGCTAGTTTGACTTTTAATATGATTCTAGATATAAGACTTCAATTCACTTTGTTTTCAGTATTTATCAATTTTTTTCTCAAGTAATCACTATACTGGTTGTATATACTAGTACTAAGAAGTTACTATAAATTTGTAATTTAAACACACATAATTAATAAGGATATTTTAGGAAAGACAATATATATTTATTACAAATAACTAACTTTCTTAATCTTTTTAAATTAATCAATTAGGTCTTATATTAAGGATCGAGATATTATTACTTAACTGTTTCTTGTAATATTTCATTTTATCAAGCTATTTTTTTTATCTATACGCATTAAAGATGATCATTAAATGGAAAGGATAATTTTAAAAAAGTATCACAAATTATCTACATATTAATTACAAGTAAGTGAATAACCATCTTAATTACTTTTTTAATTCTATAAAATAATTAATTATATTTAATATTGTAACTGTAAACTCGTATATTTAATACTTAAGTTGTTATTCTCAGTAAAGTTATTACTCCTTCGGTCCTTAATATAAGACCCAATTATTGAGTTGGTTTTGGTCTTAAATATAAGATTCATTTCTCATATTTATCAATTTTCTCTAAATTACCCCTATGGATACTCCTTCAACTATAATTAAGTAGAAGAGGAAGATGGGGTACTAAGAAAGATGATTATGGTATTTAAGGAAAAAATGTCACATTTCTTATAATTAACTAACTTACCTATATTCCTTAATCTAATCAAATTAGTTAAATAGGTCTTATATTAAGAACCGGAGGAGTATTATTAGGAGGGTGTTGTTGACTTTCCACCCACATTTTATCATTCCCATTATTGACGTTTGAGCCTTCTACAGGGCTTATATGATTTACACACACGATATGAAAATTTTATATGTTCTAGAGTCTTTTATTGTTATTTCCCTTAATTCAAATCTAATATTAATATGATTGTGTGCATGCGTTTAAATTATATTAATATATGTAAAAAAATCATATTAAATATAAAAAAACAGAGTTTTGAGGAAATGTTCATCATGAGGATCCTAAGTTAAAAATTATTTGCACTTAAAAAAATCAAAGAGTCAATTTGAAATCAATTTGATATTTTTGGCCAAATGAAATCAATTTAGATTAACGTAAGATGAATGGAAAATTGAATATAGTTAACATCCTACTTAAGGGGATTTGATCACTGTTCTTAACATTACTAGGGAAATTAGTTTCTACTATCCATAAAATGCATTCTTTTGTGGCTTATAAAAAATTAAAGATATTTTTAAAAAAATTAACGCAATAAAAATATGAATGAATTTTTATATATATAGAAATTAAAACAAAGTAATATGGCCTTTTTAACCAATGTTTCCGAAGAAGAGTTTCAACCATCTCTGATCTAGCGTTTCACATTGGAAACTTGCAAATAATTTTTTATTCAATAAATGCGCCAGATTTAATAACCAATTGTCTGCTTTCATTAAAAGAGATGGCAGTAGACTTGACTCTTTCCTAAAAGTCAACGAAACATTATTATATCGCGTTCAAAATATAAGCATCAAATTTTTTTTAAATGGCTAATTTACCATGTTTTTTTAATTTTCATCTCCGGTCAATTATGCGCCTATTTGGATCTCCCTTTGGGAGGCCAAGGATAGGCCATTTGAAGATAAGCTAGTGTTTGGCATACTCTTCAAAATGGACTTCTGGATTTGATGGCGTGTTGCATCTAAAGTTGAATTTTGGAGCTTTGGAGAGAAAAGCTTCAAATACATTAGACGCCTAAAAAAGTAATTTAAGGTGTTTGATGTACTCAAAGATAATTTAGAACGTTAGTTACATCTAAAATGTTTAAAATATAATTTACTTTTATACTTTAAGTAGATTAAATATATCTAATTAAGTGTTTTTTGAGTTTTATTTTTATTTTATACTTTTAATTTCAATATTTCTCTCAAATTACAAACTATATCAATTAATATATAATAAAAAATCATGCCTTTCTAGTTATTTTATATCTAAATGTACTTTTTTATTACTCATCCAAAAATATTTAGTTTGGTAAACTATTTTTTTTTTATAACACATCTTAAATATAAATCATATTACCAACGGACTGATTTTATCCTAACTTACGTTTGTAAAATTAGATAGAATAAAAATTAGTTTACCATCACTAATCCAAACACACTCCATATGTTTCTCTTGTATCTTTATGTTTCTCTTGTATCTTTATCTGCTTATTCCCTTTCATCTTTTTTTTTTTTACTCACTCTCTCTACCCACTTCACCGTTTACATAATTATTATGTTTAACCAATTTTAATTAACTTTTGAATTGTATGATTTTGTTATTTAATGCTTATATTTTGAAGCAGTACGGTAGAGATTTACTCATTCTAGTATTTAATATATGAACTCTTTTAGAATAAAATTATGGTTCAAAATAAAAGTTGTCAAAATAATTAATAATATTTTTTTACTTTTACCATTATTAATTACAAGAGAGAGTTTTAAATATAGGAAAAAGATGAGAGATAATAAAAGTATGCGTAAAAATTTTTTTGGCCAACGAGTATTTAAAAAAATATTTATAACTTTTCAATCACATGTTTTAAGGATAAAATAGAAAAATTTTATTATTTTAAGACGTGTTTAATAATTTAACTATTATATTACTTAGTTTGTGAGACTTAACCAAACTTCTTATATCATGGATTGATGAAAGAGTATAATAAGCAATGAAATTATTTTGCTTTCGTTAATGCATTCAATTTGCGTAGTAGTAATTATGCATGAGAACTTGTACTCCCTTCCATCATCCGTTTAATTAATTCATAGCATTAAAAAAATAGTTCAAACAATAAATTTGTGTTTGTTGTAAGGATTGGGCTGTGTGTCATAACCTGATTTTTAGTAACTGCAATATATTTGCTTAACAATAGCTGGGTAGGGATTATATGGTGCGGATTATTGGTCCTATGGTCAAATTCGAACGTACCTAAGGCAGGTGGATAATAATAAAAAATAATTGACTTTTTTCTTTGTGTTCATTCAAAAAATTATGAATATTTTATTCCCCAGTGAAAAGTATGCGTATCTGACAATTTGCTTATTCAATGGAAAAGAAGAAAGTTTTATGAAGCTGATGAGGCGTACCCTTCTCGCTCGGCAAACTCGTGTCTTTATTGGGAGCCAATTGGGCAAATATGAACTTCACATTTTCATTTCAGTGTCCGTGGGTCCACTGCAGCTGCTGTAACATCCATGAGATCAGAAGACGACATGATTTTTTTTTCTTTTGACAAAATACTCACTCCGATCTTAAATATAAAATTAGTCGATTAATTTGAGAAAATTAGAAAAATAAATTAGTTATTTATAATAAATAGACGTTGTCTTTCTTAAAAATATCATTCATAATCAAGTATATTAGTTAGAATTACCATTATTAAATAAAATTACTATTATTAAAAGGACTATCTTAAAAAAAATATAAATATAACAGATAAAGTAAATTGAAATTTTATATTTATAATCAAAATAAAAGTCAAACAGTATCTTATATTAAAAACTAAAAATAATAGTCAATTACACATAACCTAGTCAGCTCGTTGATCACACAGGATCCATTTGGGCCATAGAAGTGCTTAAAAGTAGCATATGATATTAGTCACATGAAAATTAACTCCAAGATTCACAAATGTATATTCCTAAGTGCGATGACATTTTCAGGTATCGAACCCGCGATAGTATCCAATCTCCTAACTGCTGAACCCACGGACACGTTGTAAAAGGATAGCCTTACGCCCTTACCTCGATCATTCCCGACCCAAAATTGTACTCCTTCGGTCCTTAATATAAGACCTATTTAACTAATTTGATTAGATTAAGGAAGTTAGGTAAGTTAGTTAATTATAAGAAAAGTGACATATTTTTCCTAAAACACCACAATCATCTTTTTTAATACCTCTCTCTTTCTTCTATTTGACTATGGTTGAGGGATTATCTATAGGGGTAATTTAGAGAAAATTGATAAATATGAAAATGGGTCTTATATTTAGGACCAAACTAACTCAGAATTAGGTCCTATATTAAGGACCGGAGGAGTATTTATTTTTCCCGAAAAAATTGAAATTTCTCAACACTAATTTCTCCAAGAATTAGTATTCATTTGTATAAAATGCCACAAAGCGACTTTTTGTATTAATCAAATGGAGTTTTAAATGCATACTTGTTGATTATTGGCATGACAAAGCCAAAAGTCTGATGTAAACTATAAAATTTTTTGAATCATGCAGTTAGTTAATACTCATGCATAATATGATTTTTCTTTAAATTTCATGTAATTTTTAATTTTCATTAATAGACTTGTATAATTTTTTACTACCCCTTCAGTCTTAATATAGAATTTAATTGTTGAGTTAATTTTGACCATAAATATAAACCTAGTTATCATATTTATTAATTTTTCTAAATTATCCATATTGATACCGTTCGACAATAATCAAGTAGGAGAGGAGGAATAATATTAAGAATGATACTTATAGTGTTTTAGAAAAAAATGTGATATTTTTATAATAATTAACTTACTTAATTTTTTTAATCCAATTAAATTAGTTAAAATGTCTTAGATTAAGATCGGACGATAAGTATTTTATTAGGCTTTGTATAATCTCTTAGTTTTTGTAGCACTATTTTTTTTTAACCTATTTTAACAGAATTTTGAATATTACATTTAAGTTATCTTCAATTTGGAATTGATTACCACCAGCCAAGACAAGTCAGCAGGCGTCACAACGCCAACAACAACACGCTTGGGATTTCGTTTTAATTTGATGAAGGGCCAACTCGTCTCTGACTTCACATCTAGGGTCAGGTTATTGTGATTTCTGTACGGAAGTAACCCAACATTCAATCCTTTTCTTTTTCTTCTTGTCCTCCTTCTCAAGTCATCGCTTCCTCATTTTTCCCGGAAGCCAGTTCTGGTTGAGCCGCACGAACATCAAATATCTCCTTGAACTGATCCTCTGTTTCCGCTTCATGGGCTAGTTTTCTCAGGCATCGTGCGAAAAGAAAGACTATGATCAAATCCAAAAGCTTTCTTCAAAGTATTATGAAACATCTCAAATTCGGTTCAAGGAAAGGTAAAGAGCAAAACCCAGTTCCTGTTATTCCTTTATTTTCTTTTCTGTTAGTCTCAGTCTATTTTCTGGGCGATGACAGAGAGACAGAACGAAGACGACATTCAGAGGATTGCCGCCAAGGAGCAGAAGGTGTTTTCCTACGAAACGTTAGTTTCGGCAACGAAGAATTTCAATCCTAATCACAAGCTGGGCGAGGGAGGATTCGGACCGGTCTACAAGGCAAGATCTGTGAGAAATTTTACTAGTTATTGTGTTTGGTTGCGGGGAAAAGTTGCAGAGGGAGGAAAATTGAGCTGGGAACAGTTCATTCATTCTTCATCTCGCAATGTCTGAGAAAAAGCATTCAATTGGTTAAGTTCGGGTAATTCTAAAACTAATTAACTACAACTAAAATCGTTTCGAGATTCTCGCTTAAATTTTCCATTTACTAGTTGAGAATCTCGAAACAGATTATTCAAATCAAGCTTTGAGCCTTTTGTCTAAGGTTTGACTAATTGTAAGATCCTCATTGGGACTGTAAACCCCAAAATGTCATTTACACGAATCAATTCTCTGCTACAGTATTCTGAAATGAGGGGTATTTGAAATTGGAACAGGGGAAGCTCGAAGATGGAAGAGAGATCGCAGTGAAGAAGCTATCAGTGAGATCGAATCAGGGGAAGAAGGAGTTCGTAAACGAGGCGAAATTGTTGGCGCGTGTGCAGCACCGCAATGTTGTGAATCTGTTGGGCTATTGTGTATTTGGCTCCGAGAAGCTTCTCGTGTATGAATATGTTCCTCATGAGAGCCTTGACAAAATTCTCTTCAGTAAGTCTCCTTCTTCTTCTTCTTCTGTTCATTCTGTTTCTGTTTGGATCAACTTTAAAATTAGTATTTCCGTGTTTTACAAAATAAAACTCCTTCATATTTATTTACTTCGCACCGTTAAAAAAAAAAACTTTTTAAGTTATCTTATTCACCTCAAGCCTTTGTTTGAGTTTGGATTTTACTTGAAAAGTAGGCTTGCTTTTTCTCCTTTCACTTGAAGCTGGGATTGCAATTGGTACATTAAGGAAAAAATTGACGTCAGTCAAATTATTTTACTAAGCCCACTTGGAGAATAATTACAATTTGAAAAGGCAAAAACCCCAAGTTTGAACGTGGAGCTTCCGTGGGGCTCTGCTGTTCACAATGAGGCACTTTTTCTTCTTTTTATATTGATGGAGTGATGATTCATCTGTAGACCCGAAAAAGATAAGATATTTATATTTCCTGAATGTTATGAATCTTTTTTATTCCAATTCCTTTCTTCTTTGCCAACCATTCCAATTTCCAACTCCGGCATTGTTAATATATTTACGTCACCAACTATGGAGACTCCAGAAATCTGCACATAATTATTTTTTTGGTAGCTCATCCTCGGAAGGTGACTGCACTTTAGACCTTGACTTTTCCTCCAAAAATTAATGCCATGCGTTGCATCTTACTATTTCTTTTTTCATCTCCTGATTCAAACGCGTCTTTTGACCCATCTTAGCGAAGCTATGACGTCGCCTTTTATATTACAACA